ATTGGATTTATACCCCACCCTTCACTCAGAGTCTCAGAGCGGTTTACAAACTCCTTTCCCTTCTCCCCACAACAAACACCCTGTGAGGTAGGTGGGGCTGAGAGAGCTTTTCCAAGAACTGCTCTTTCGAGAACAGAGCCCTTAGGGGGTGAGCGGTCTATAAATTGAATGTAATAATAATAATAATAACAGTTCTGACAGAACTATGGCTTGCCCAAGGTCATTCAGCAGCTGCAAGTGGAGGAGTGCGGACCAAACCCGGTTCTCCCAGATTAGAGTCTGCGCACTTAACCACTACATCAAACTGGCACTCAACTATCCAGCAGTGAGTCTGATTCCGAGCACTGGACCCTACGCAAGTTACTCAAGCAAAAGGGAGGAGAGGAAGAAGAAACTGATAACTGGATCCTGGGATCCAATAAAGAGTCCAGCATTGATGCAAGTCAGTCCGTGGTGGGGAGGGGAGCAGGACCTTGTGTCAGGTGAGGGTAGACAAGGTTAGTTTCAGGGGAGACAAAAACTCACTTTGGGAGGTGATTCTGGCCCCAGTTACAGGGCAAACAGGCAAGACAAGGAAATATTCCTCCTGGGGATCAGAGGCCAGGGCCACATATGAACCCCGGCTGTGCCACTGGGATCGAATTGGGTTGGTCTTAGAAGGGGGGCGAGGGACCAGGGGCCAGTTCACTTTTCAGGCAACATGAATTGGCTGGCCCAAAAGCAGGCCCAGCTTCCATGTAAGGCCACGGGTGTGCTAGTAGGGTTGCCAACCTCCAGGTGGTGGCTGGAAATCTCCCTTTTATTACAACTGATCTCCAGGCGACAGAAATCAGTTCCCCTGGAGAAAACGGCCTCTTTGGAAGGTGGACTCTATGGCGTGGTACCCCACTGAAGCCCCTCCCCTCCCCAAACCCCACCCTCCTCAGGCTCCACCCCCAGAATTTCCAGGCATTTCCTAAACCCAGAGCTGGCAACCCTGTGTGCTAGTAAAACAAGCAAGGGCCAGCCAAAGTTATAAGTGGATGTGTAAGTGATGGCAGAGAGGGCCTTTCTGTAGCAGAGTGCCCACTGAGGAGATTAAGGGTCTGTGATAAATGGTCTGATTCCTGTCGATTAAGCGTCGTTTTTTAAAATGGCACAGGGTGCTTCTTTAGAGACCTCTCGGAATCTCCTCTTCTCACAGTAGTCTTATGAAATGTGGGGGTGGTTAATTTACCCCCGCATTTTCTTTTTTTGCCCCACAGGCACGCACGTCAGCAAGTAAAACCTGGTTGACGGGGAAGTTTGCGGAAATCTGCCGATTGTTTGAGGAGGAAGAGGCACTGGCCAAAAGATACATAGAGGAGAAGGGACAAGAGGTCCATCAGTGGCTATTAGCCACAAGGTATAGATAGGGGCTCTGGGGCAAGTGATGCTCTGTCTTCTTGGTGCTTGGGGAGGGGGTCAACAGTCGGAGGGCTTCTAATGTCCTGGCCCCACTGGTGGACCTCCTGATGGTACTGGTATTTCTGGCCACTATGTGATACAGAGTGTTGGACTGGATGGGCCCTTGGCCTGATCCAACATTGGCATCGCTCATGTTCTTATGTTCTTAGAGTGCCCACTGAGGAGATTGTGATAAATGGTCTGATTCCTGTTAATCGTCGCTTTTTAAAAATGGCACAGGATGCTTCTTTAGGGACCTCTCGGAATTTCCTCTTCTCACAGTAGTCTTATGAAATGTGGGGGTGGTTAATTTACCCCCGCATTTTCTTTTTTTGCCCCACAGGCACGCACGTCAGCAAGTAAAACCTGGTTGACGGGGAAGTTTGCGGAAATCTGCCGATTGTTTGAGGAGGAAGAGGCACTGGCCAAAAGATACATAGAGGAGAAGGGACAGCAGACCCTGAGGAGGTACGAAGAGCAGATGGAGGAGAGCGAGAGGCAAATACGGATCGTAGACAGCTTCTCGGACAGGATCAGACAAATTCAGCTGCGGCCAGACCCTCTTTGTTTACTACAGGTAGGCCTGTGGTCCCTCTCTGCCAATCTGAACAGTGTGCTGAAAGCCTCCTCCGGAGAGCTTCTGCAGCACAATTGTATGCATGCATCTACTCAAAGGAAAGTCCCACTACTTTAAATTGGGCTTACTCCCGGTTAAGCATTGCATAGAATTGCAGCATCCTTCCATTTTGGAGGAGAGGTGGGACATAGATGTTTTATAGTAAATAAATGAGCAAGCCTTGGCCATAAAGACATCATTCATCTTTGGATCTCCAGGACTATGCCACCATAGAGAAGGAAATAGCAAAGCAAAAGACCCCCACAGAGCAGTGGGTAGCAGTGCCAGTCTCATTTGAGCACCTTGCCAACCACTTCAGACGCTTTGTGGAGACCATTCAGTCCATCTTGCGGAAGCCGCTCGAAACACGACTCAAGGAAGGTACGTGAGAAAGCACCAAGCAGTTGACAACCTTCTGTAGAGCCGTATGATGTCACCTACCTTACTTGTTCTTGTGTGCTGTTACATATTTTTGGATAGGGAAGGGCCATGGCTGAGTGGTAGAGCATCTGCTTGGCATGCAGAAGGTCCCAGGTTCAATCCCCAGCATCTCCAATTAAAAGGACCAGGTGATAATGAAAAACCTCTGCCTGAGACCCTGAAGTGCTGCTGCCAGTCTGAGTAGACCATACTGACTTTGATGGACCAAGGGTCTGATTCAGTATAAGGCAGCTTCAAGTGTTCATGTGTATTCATGTAATGTATACTGGTACTGCAGTCAGGGCGAGTTCATTACTTCAGATTGTGAGCATCGGTCATCACGTGGAGAATTGTCAGGGAACTTCCGTAACTGTTGCCATGATTTTGTCAGGGAAAAGGGGCTAGAACTCCAAGGGGGGGGGGATTGAGGTGGGATTCTACCACAGTATTTTCCTGCCAATAAGAACAGAAGAAGAGCCCTGCTGGATCAAACCAGTGGTCTGTCTAGTCCAGCATCCTGTTTTCACACAGTTGCCTGGAGGACCAACAAAAAGGACATAGAGGCCAAGGCCTTCTTCTAATGTTGCCTCGTAGCACTGGAGTCCAGAGGTTTGCTGCCTCTGGATATAGAGGTCATTTCTGGAATGTATATCAGGTATGAGCATCTCATTCCAAGAGGATTTTGTATGTTTAAAATGTATTATATAGATTGAGATAAACACACAGATACAGAAGGACTTGGCAACAATCATACATATATAAGATTGTTGCCAAGTCTCTCTGTATCCATCCCTCTCTCCCTCCAGATAGATAGATAGATAGATATTTATTATATAGAGATAAACACAGAGATACAGAAGGACTTGGCAACAATCAGACAGACAGACAGATAGGTATAGAACGAACAATGTATTCCATCATACACTGGGAAAATACAAAAGGTTATGTATTATCTTGATATTGCACATTCCAATACATAACAAAAAGCACCAATTTCTCAATAAGGATAGTTGTTTTAAAATGAGATAATATTCTTATTGAACAGCTTGTGACGTGAGCAGACAGGATCTGAATTTCACCTTCTGGTCTGCTGTCATTCGAGGCTGTGCAGAAGATAAAAAGCAACATGAAAAGTGGTTATTTTTCTTCTTTGTAAAAAAACAAAGCAAAAAAGTCTTACCATGTGTGGCACTGGGTATCTGCTTCCCGAAAAAAACTCCATCTGAACAGCCTTCCTTTGTTTTTATTTCTCATCTGTGAAGATGTTTTCAGCAGCCTTGACAACACTTTGAAGGAGCCCGGTGTCTTGCTGAAAGTGAACTCTTGCGTCGATCGGTTGCTCTTTCTAAAACGTACGTAAATACTCATGATCACGATGCTCGTCCCCCCTCCTCTGCCAAACCTGATCAGAAACTCTGTGCTTGTATGCACCACTTGGGGTATTCTAGAACATGTTATTTTTAAAATGCAAAGTGTGCAGTATTTGGAATCATTCCCCTTTTGGATAGATTCAGGTGGGTAGCTGTGTTGGTCTGAAGCAAAGTTTGAGTCCAGTGGCACTTTTAAGACCAACAAACTTTAAATCTGGGTTTAAGCCAGGGATGGCCAAACTTGCTTAACTTAACAGCCACACAGAATGAACGTCAGATGTTTGAAAGCTGCAAGACACGAACACATATACACGTTTTTATTGGAAAATATGCAAATTTGCTTTTTATTAACATTAAATTAGATTGTGTGAAAGAGCTGCATGTGGCTCCCAAGCTGCAGTTTGGCCACCCCTGGTATAAGCTTTTGTGTGCATGCACGCTTATCTGAAGAAGAGAGCCAGTTTGGTGTAGTGCTTAGGGAGCACGGACTCTAATCCTGAAGAACTGGGTTTGATTCCCCACTCCTCCACATGCAGCTGCTCGCGTGACCTTGGGTCAGTCATAAGTTCTTTCAGAGCTGTTCTCTCAAGGGCAATTCTCAAGAGAGCTCTCTCAGCCCCACCTACCTCACAGGGTGTCTGTTGCGGGGAGGGGACGGGAAAGGGATTATAAGCCACTCTGAGACTCCTCCAGGTAGTGAAGGGTGGGGTATAAATCCAGCAGAAACAAGAAAGGGAAAAAACTGAACCTAACAAAGAACTCCAAAACCAAACAAAGGTTAGTGAAAAGGAGGGCCAATATTAAAACCTTTCTATAAAAAGAGGTACATGTATTTATTGATAATAACAAATTTAAAACATATATAGGGGCCCAATTACAA